CATCCTTTATGAGGACTTGGTAAGATCTAAACTTTTACTCATCACTCAGTGTTGTGGGATTAATTTCGAGTATATTGCAATTCATGCTATGCTTAAGTGTTATGGCTTAATTTTGCTTTACTTTGGCTATGGTGAATGGTATTGCATTTTACCTTCATTCTATTTACACTTGGATGTCCCTCGATATGTGGATCTTATGTCCTGATAATGTGTGTGTATACATGCCCTTTGCTGACTATTAGTGAATGATTGTAGCAGTTTGTCATTGCTAGATTGGATTCATGTTCACTTTCTTGCCTCCGATCTTATTGAATATACTCAAAATAATGTACTTAAAGTAATCATATTTCACTCGTAAACTCGATATCTTGAGTATGAACTTGAGTTAAAATAGTGAAATCAAACATTTCGAATAGTGCATTTCATTACAGATATTACTTCTACATTGCTACATATGCATGTATTGATCGTATCCAAAACAAAGTTTTCAAAATATTTACAAAACAAAACCTACACTAAACAATTTTCACAGGTTTTTAAAATTAGAAGATTTTCATTTCTCATTTTTCAGTTAGGTATTGAATGCATTCATGCACTAATTTCATAAGAACAATTAGGTGATTTGGGAGATTTCCGCCCCTATGAGTTGTCTCCCTTTGGCTTCATTACTTCAATCATATAATTTTGTAAACCTAAAAATACATTATTTAAACATTGTGGGGTCAATTTTGAAGCTTGCATCGACTGCATCCCGTAGTTCATTGACATTCTTGCATGATTTTTCTATTTGTAAGCTCTGGATTGCTCGAAATCATCCTAAATCATGCACATTCATGCCAGGAGAATTAGACGGTAGTTGAATAAGAATAATGTTAAAACCATCACTAGTTGCGACATAAAAAAAGTCTGTACCATCCCCTTTTATATGTGGCTTTGCATTGTCTTTGTTGTATGAATGTATATTTTGTTAGATTGGTCGGCCACTTTTCCCATATAGATAAACAAACAATCATTGCATAGCCTACTTTAGTTACATACATAGATTGAAATGCAACAATGAATTCGAGAAAATAGTTCATCTTTTATTCTAAATAAGAGAATAGAAAATATTGACACTATGTTTTCTCATATTTTATGGTTTTCAATTAGGAAAATTGAGCTAACCTTATTAATTAAACAACTTTTAGAACTTGCTTTGTTGCATATTGAACCGGTTTAGTTTCTAATGTGTCGGCCACTCGATTTTTGCTTGACCTTCTTGTTGGGGCTTGTTCTGTGGATGGAAAATTTCTATTTTTTCATAAAAAAATAAAATCTCATCCTCAGCCCATATAGGTCGGGATACTGCACACATAAATATAATTTTCATGATGAATTTTTTGCTTTTGCAATCTCTATATGGGTTCTTATCCCTAATGTTCCAGTAAAATCGATGAGTAGTCTTTGCATATAAAATCATTTCTCATCAATGTATGTTGTATTATGCATATTTTGAAATAAAGCCATTTCAATACACCTATAAATATGAAGAGCTTTTATTGAAAAACATAACCTTGCTAGTTTGTTATCATCTGTGAATTCAGACCCGATTGCACTTGTATAAGATTTGATATGCTTATCCTTAATCCACCTGTGTACAGTTGATTCTGAACATTGTAGCCCCTTTGTTAGATTTCTTATTGAAGAACTTTGCTTCAAGGATAATTTTTCTATTGCATTCATATTCGGTGATTTATTATCTTTTATGATCACATTTTTCTTTCTAGATATGCCCATGGCCTCGTCCTTTTGCATTTCCTCTTTTGCAGCTTTCCAATGGTTTTGAACTATCCATACAAAGAAGTTGAATAAAGTGTTATTTCCCTAAAATTCCCTCTAACCGGCTCCCCTCATTCTTTGCATGTTCGAAGTAAGTGTTGCACCATCTTGCTCAATTATGCATTTGTGAGGAGTTTTTTGAACATTGAAGACATTGTGGTGTCTACAACTAAAAGCTTGGATTAAATTGTGTTAGGATTTTGTTTGTTCGCTTTAAATACGTATGGAAAAAAAAATAGAGTTGCTGAGTATTTATTGGTGTTTTTTTTCAGGTACATACAAAGATGTGTATGAGAGGAAAATGGTCAAAAAGTTCCCTCTTAATTGTATTTGTCTCTTGGGATAGAGGGAAGAAAGTAAATATTGTATAAATTGTGCATTTTGGAGAAAAAAAGATGCTGATGTATTTTCATAACTTGAGTAAATTGTTAACATACTTGTGCAAAATAGGTTTATTGAAAAGCTTCTAAACTGTCCACTTGTATTATTTAATTATTTTTATTAATTTCACAATTAATATTATATTTATAACATTAATTTCACTTCTTCTAAGCTTTTGTGTATATAATGATATATATACAGATGGAGTATATGCTTACTTTTCAAAACAAAAATATTATTTTTTTCACAAAATATCATGTCAAGCTATTAAATTTTTTTGTGAGATACGGAGAATCATATAGATAATATAAAGATATTTTATATTGAATTATTAATTTTTGTAGAAATAAAATAAAATATAAATACAGTACTTCCCTAATACTCTCTCATCTTTTTTTTTTCCCCTAAGACTCCTTTTTAACATATTTATATTACTTTTAACTCCAAAATATCATTTTTACGCTTACAAAATACTAATTTACAAAATTATCAAACTATTTGAAAACCAAACAATCCACTTCTATATTGTCTCCAACCCTAATCTTTTTAGTATTCGCGTTTCCCTTCGACCGAAGATAATAGCTTTGGATTACATACTTTTAAAATATTTTATTGGCATTATAATGATCTTTTTATCGTCATTATTTTTATATATTGTTAGATTACGATAAAAAATATCAACAATATATTAGAATACATTAACCCTAAAAATCTTATAAACAACAAGTAAATAGTATAAGTCTTATCAATAATTTACAACTTCAAGTGCATAAAGTATCTGATTGGTGAGAGAAAAATCAAACTACGAATTTCTAATGAGAACCAAGTGCAATACGGCACCCCAAATAAGTCATAATTACTTATAACTATAAAAAGTAACTCTATGCAATGAGTTGAACTATACGAATGAAAATTACATGAGTTCGGAAGATAGGAATGAAAATTGCACGAAAATTTTATTTAGTTTTGATTTAGTTTTTTAATTTTTAGTTTTAATTTAAATAGTCCTTACATATCATATTTTCTAAGAAAAAATTTCTATCCAAATCCTTTTTTTTTTTTTTTTTTAGGAATTATCATAAAATTCTTATTTTTTTAGGAAATATTATTACTTTCTTGAACTCCTTCCATCCCATGTAGGCATATAAAATTTAAATAATCTAATGAGAGGAAAATGTATATTTAATTTTTGTAGATGACGTGATAGGATAGAATATAGTTTGTTATTTTTTATTTTAATAATATTTTATAATATTTTTTACTAAATATATATTTAAAAGAAAAAAAAAAAACTCTTTTTTACTAAATATATATATATATATCAATTATTACTCACGAATATAGTAACAAATAAAATTGATTTGATATAACCAAATACACCCATGAGAAATTTTATCAAAATTGATTTGATATAACCAAACATACCCATGAGAAATTTTATCGTAAAATAATGGTAATATATATGTAGTGCATTTTATCTATTATTATTATTATTATTATTTTTATTTATTATTATTTTTTTTAATAATCCGGCGGAACCTAGCATTTTATCTATAATTATTGAACCTCGATAACTTTGTTCACCATAACTTTGTTCACCTATAGATCAAATTCTTAGAGCACATACAATGACTTTTAATAATAAAAACCTCTATTGCCTAGTTGGCATCTATGTGTCCAATCCTTTTCCATCTCAGTCGATCTAAAAAATAAAATCAGCCACAACAACTCTCTTTTTCTTTCTGCTTCTCTTAAAAAATATTTCTCTTTCATCACTCTCAAATTTCACACAAAATATTCATTCTTGTGTAAACCCAAATAAATATCCCAAACATAAACATAAGGTGTTCAACAAGAACTGAGAGTCAATTGAATATGCAAAATGATAAACATGTGAAAGAATTGAATCAATATAAGAAATTACAATGTGATGTGCGAAAACACAGCAATTCGCGAAGAATCATTCACTCACTCACACTGAAAACACATTCGAATTTGTAGAGGAAATGAGAGGGGATTTGTTGAGAGAGAATAAATCTATTTCTAAAAACAGACACAAGCGTAGCCCTCATCACTAACTAAAAATTAGAACCTAAAAAAAAGAAGAGAAAATCCCCAAAATTTACCTGTCGATCGCCGGAAAGTGCAAGAATGTCAACAGTGAAATGAGGAAAAGATGAGGGAGTACAGTCATCGGCGATGGGGATGGAAGATGAGTTTGGAGAAGAAGAAACGAGCAACAAGGGTGAGAGGGAGGACAACGGAGAGAAGGAGAGAGAAGAGACGATGCCGAGACGTGCTTCGCCTGCACGATGGTGATTTTTTATCGAAGTGATGGAGTCAAAAAGTAGGCCATTACGGATGAGATTTTTCGAAATTGTGAAAGAATACCAGATAAGGTCTTCTATTCAAGAGTACGTGCTCTGAGAACCAATTCATTCAATAGTCAAGAAGACATTAAATTATTTCAACTATTCAAACCAACTTCATTCACCAATCAACCCACCCCACCCCACAATACACTACTTCAAATATTCGAACCAATTTCATTCACACCACTGTGAATAGATAGGTCATTATTTCAACTAGCTTCATTTTACCTATGGAACCAAACTACAATAATTAACAGGACCTTATACCAACCTCATTTAGCCGTCGAATCAACTACAATAATAGTTAGTTATTAGGGGCATTATTCAACTACTTGAACCAGCTTCTTTCACCTGTCGAACCACAATGGTTGTTTCTTATTTCAACTATTTGTAATTCACATATCAAGTTGAAATCAGAATGCCAAAACATCATAAAAGACTCCTCTTCTAGAGTAATCTCAATCCATTAAAAATCTCGTTTCACGGTTGATGAATTTTTCGGTAATGAAATATCTGGGTGACAAAAACCTTATTGCAGCCCCTCACATAAAGGCAAAAGTTACAACAAAACATCCATTACCAATGAGGTCCAAAACTGTCTCCAATTCAATTTTATAAAGCAGCCATTCCAGCAGCAGAAAAAATGCATCATCATGTTCTTGAAAATGGAGGAACTAAATAACTGAAAATTTAGGCAAAGAGATGTTACCAAAATTCAGGGCTTGAGAGCAATGGAGAGCCCAAACTTGGGAGCTGCGTTGGCCACCTTCGTGTCGTACTCTGCCGACACTGTTGCAAAGGATTTCGGTCTCCACTCTCGCTGGGTTAACACGGCGAGCTTCCCACTGTAGGAGACTCTGGTTTTGACTGATGTGAAAGCATCAAGTTTATGGATGCTTCCGATGCTAAAGGTGTTCTCAAACCCGGACAGGCTGTGGGTCATTTCAGCAGCAACCTCAGTTCCGGTTAAGGGGCTGACTAGATGAACATAGGAAGCCTTCACGGTTTGCCCCTTATCAGCTCTGCATCATAAATGAAATGGTATGATGTATTGTAAGCAATTTATATATATATATATATATCACAGTAGTATCTTCCTATTTATCAGCTGAAATTTGTAGGCGAAGTGGTTTATTTAACGTAGTATCAAATCTGTGTTGAAATAGCTAGTGCAAACCATTGATGTAAGTGTTTCACAACTGCGGCAATTTGGATATGATGGAAACATTAAATTTCCATGATGCATGATACTTGAAAAGGAGATACGCAGAAAAGAGTAATAAAAAGGCTTTGGAAACTACATCAATAATCTCATCAAACCTAATATAATCCACAGTTATCAAACTTTTAAATTTTAAGTGATCACATCTTCACATACAAATCTAAAAATAAATTTGGACATTCAATTCAGAAATTTAAAATTGGAAAAAAAGAAAAGGTTCATACTGAACTTATATTACAGAAGTCATAAAAATAAAAAAAATAAAAAACAGAGACTAATTTAGTTATTAGATGAAAAATATCATTACCGAATTCCCGGATTCCAAATTTTAGTCTTCCATAGAATAGCAAAGCAGGTCAAAATTTTCAAAGTAAAAATTATTGTTCTGAATTTACCATGTTATCAATCTCGCATTACCATGACTGTATGAAACTGTGTAAAGGGAGACAGAAAAATAGAGAACGTTACGTACAGTATGACAGCTGCTGAAAAGTCTGGCTTGTTGAAGCTTATTCCAGCATTACACTTTGTAAATGACGAAGTGGAGGTATCAAATCCAATTTCACAACCAACAGCTATATCATTCAAGCCTGTTGCTGCAGCAACATCTAGAAGAGGGCTTGGGTGCAGCCCAATGCTGGAATTGATGGCAGCATGACGGTGAACGTAATGTACATCAAGCTGAAGAAATACATTTTATTGGTGAAAACCCAGTCCATAATGCTTATAGAAAAATATATGCTCGGATAGGAAAAACAGTTTCAGTTTTCACATTTGTCTATTATGGTTGTAAATAGTTACCCATAATATATAGTAAAAGACAACCATATTCCGAAAAAACAAAAACTAGCCATCCTGTAGAACTTCACAGTTAACATGATGATGTCCTGCTAATATTTATACAGAGTAATTAAATCTGATTGATGTAACCATAAGCAGTAGGCAATCACTAACAGGAGTTCCAATCCCTAATACAAATTTAAATTATCACTTCAATTCAATGCTTGGTAGCTTTAGAAAACAAAACACTATGCCTTTGAAATAGGAAACCTCCACAGTAGCAAGCATCTGAAGTGTCAAGTTTTGCAAGAGAGCAAAATAATTACCTTTCCAGATTTGTGATCAGGAACACTAAAGCTTATTGCTGCTTTAGTACCAGGTGCCCAATCGTAAGTCACCTTGGTCGAAACCTACAAGGTAATGACTCAGACAAATAGTAAAAGTAGAAAAAAAAAAAAAATCATGCAAGCATCGTACAGATAAACACAAACGCAAATACATAGTAATGGTGGACCATGGTCATAGGGCATCTTGCATGCAAAACTGATAATGTTTTTTCATACCCCTATTGTTCCAGTTTATTTACTTCAACCATTTTACTCATTTTCTATTTTTAGAATGTTTCTCCGCATATACCTTTGTAATTACCTTCTATATACATATATACCATAGAAAACATGCATATTATCTTTAACTAAGAACATAACGATATTATGATATATTAAAACTGTCAAGTCAAATAGTTCCAATATGAAATTACGTTGTTGTGAATTTTATCCATATTGAAAACAGAATTATTTATTATATAAATTCTTTAAAAAAATATATCCAATATCTATTGCGCTGTGCAACACGGAACACCACTCATTCACTTGCTGAACCAAAAATAATATATATCTATATAACTATTATTTCAAAATTTTGCAAAAAAATAAAAATTCTTGGTCTTACGTTAGAATATGTATCAACTTTAACATCGACGGTAGTTTTTCCGCTTTTGTACTGTGTACTAATGTCACCAATGAAGATTTCATCTTTCTTCACTCCAGTGGCAGTAAAACCCTGTCAAAATGATAAAACATAGTTTATAATATGTTTTTTTTCCATTGAATAAAAATCTGTACTTTAATGCATTAGACATGTCGTATGTGCAATCTCCTAGTAACCTTTCAATGAATGAATCATGAATGACTCAAAGAAAAGCCATAATAAGCAACATAAACGAATCTTCTGATGATTTCCATGCTCAATTCGAAGTAGGTACTATATGATATTTTTGTAAGAAAAAAAAAAGGAGTTAGACATGTTGTTTCTAACCTGAGTCCAAAAGGGTTTAACTTGGCAAAGAATGGTATTATTTTTTACAACACAACCTTGAATATAAGAATAATGACAAATTGATAGTCCTCTTGACAGCTCATGCATATCATAAAAAGAAAAATAAACTGTTGACCAAAACCATACAAAGCACTAACAAAAGCATAAAATTTACATTACCATTCCAGTAGAACTTGGAATTGCAAGGGAGAACTTCTGATCATAATTGTAATCTTTAGTCAAAAGATCTGTAAATAAGTACACATGTTTCAATAGAATGGTGTAATACAAGAGTATTGACTAAGACAGATAAAAGGCTAATTAGAAATTATTTAAATAAAAAAAAAATGTAATAAGCAATCAATCAAGTTATTGTAATGCAACAATAAAAAGCAGCAAACATCAATATACAATGAGTCGGCATAAACAGTGTTTCACCCACAGAAATGACAAACATGTACATGCCACTTAATCTGTTAAGCAGAACTTCTAAGCCACTTCAAACACTATTCTGAATAAATTGCACTCTCTCCAGGTGTAATGGGCTACACCTGTACTAGAATGTTGGAAGGAAACTGCAGTTGTCAAGGGCACAGCCTTCATAAGGCCTGCGAGACTTACAAAGGCTATTTCAATCTGGTGTCAATACTATTGAATCTAGTTTGGCAAATTTTGGTTAACTGCAAGAATATCAATTCTAAGCTTCCGCTAAAAAAATCATGGAATAATGAACACAATTTTAAGTATATTTTCGAATTTTAATAAAGTAGTAGGCATGCAATCCAACATTCTCATAGAATATGCTTGGTGGGGATGGATAGCAAGTGCTATTAAATGGAAGCTGAAATTCAAATTGCAGCCAACACCCTACATTCGTTGAACACATGTTTCGACGTTGCATGTTCTATCTGAGCTCCAGTAGTGACTAAGCAAGGTTTCTGCCAGTACACTTTTAAAATATGTAGTTATCACTTGTTTGTAACTAAAATAAAAATTCTTGACTTTTGCGATTGATAACTAAGTCTTATCTAATAAGTAGGTGTAAATCATTCAAAAAAGGGCGAGAGTATATTTAGTAGTGATTCGCATCAGGGACATATTTAGTTTCCAAATAATTTTGTATGAGTTCTGTCGAAAATTGAAATGACAAGGAGCATTAAATTCAAAGGAAAAGAGCTTCTACACTTTTGTGATATTGGAAGGCAGAAAAACAATCACGTATGAATCAACGGAGAAAATTAACACTAAATATATATATATATACATTCAGAGACGTCATAAAAAACAGTAACAAACAGTAACGGCTACCTCTTGCACGCCGGCCAATGTCCAAAAATGGAGCCGGACCGTTTCCCATGGCCTTCTCTCTTCACAAAACGAAAAACTTCCGGGAGAAGTCCTATAAAAACAGTCAGTACGAAAACAAGAGCACAGATTTAATAATGAATAGTCGTCTCTCAACTATGTACATACAAACACGGGCATTCGTGAGTCCACACAGAACATGTTTTAGCGCACAATGCGTAGTAATAAATTCAAACGGCGGATTGAAATGCTCTTACCGATGAGATCTCTGATCGCCGGCGAGAAGCGACCGGAGGAGACGACAGCGCTTCGTGTAGAATGAAGGCGAACTATAAAGAGGCGAGGGTTTTTAGAAAAGAATCTCAAGAGAGTCTACAAATAAAGATTTGCCCAGCCGGTTTCGAACCGCCGGTTCAGACCAGCGGTGCACCGGAACCGCCATCAAACAAAACCGAAACCGACTTTTCACGTTCGAATTCGGTTCAGATGCTATTCAAACCGTAAACCTCCGGTCAGGCGCCGGTCTTCTGTTCGAACCGGTAATTGGCCATATCTTTTTTTCCCACTACACCACAACCCATAGCACATGGCCCAGATAGCTCTTATAGGCCCACACAGACACACCTGCACCGTATCAAGAGCAGTCAAAACCTACGGCCCAATTTAAAATAAAAAAATGGGTATAAGAAATTAATCCTACCCAATACTAAATATGCAGTACCTAAGTCGACATGGGCTTTCACTAAGATGGTAACCGTCCAAATTATATATACAACCCAAAACAAATCTTTCTATGAAATGATATTCTCTGCCGGCAAAAAACTAAGCAAGTGTCAAAAATGCAAATTTATTGAAATATGTTATAAATATATGTATATGCGATCTGGATGCATATTATTGTAATACATACGAATGACGTCAGTAATTGTTAGTCAATTGTTAATCACACATCATTTCTCTATTTCCTCTAGATATATATATACCATCGAAGAAAAAAAGAGCGAGGAAGTCGCATCAATCAATTCTATTATTTTGTCTCTCTCTAAACTTCTTGCTTAAGCTAGCATTTATTGCATATATATATATAGATATATACTCATAAATACACACATATTATATTAATTATTATATAACACGTTATCAGCACGAAAGCTCTTCTCTATTTTATTTTTGTTAAGTTTTATTTTTATACTATCTATATTATTTATTTTCTATACTATGGAAAATCTTGCAAAATTTTCTTTTAAACCTATGTCTCTCACCGGCAATAATTTTCTGACTTGGTATCTGAATGTAGAAATGCATCTGGTTTCTATGGGCCTTATTCATACAATTGCCACTGAAAATGCGACTACAAGCCAAGATCGGACTAAGGCTATTATTTTCATTCGTCACCATCTGGACATTCCTTTATAGTCTGAATATTTGACAATGAAAAATCCACTTGATTTGTGGAATGAATTGATGGAGAGATTTGGGCACTTGAAATATATCACTCTCCCGAAAGCACGACATGATTGGCTTAACCTGCGGTTGCAAGATTTTAAAACTGTGTTACAGAATACAACTCTGCTATCCATCAGATTACATCTCAGTTGAAACTCTTCGGAGTAATTGTTACTGAGAATGATAAATTGGAGAAGACTCTCTCTACCTTTCATGTTTCTAATGTTGTACTGCAACAGCAGTATCGTGAAGATTTTTTTCAAAAATACTCACAGCTCATAGCATATTTTTTATTAGCTGAGCAAAATAATGAGTTACTGATGAAAAATCATCAGTCCCGGCCCACTGGTTCCAGTCCGTTCCCTAAAGCGAACGTGACATTTTCTGAATGAGGCCGAGGACGTGGTCGCGGTCGTGAGAGTCAACGCGGTTGATATATCCCTTACAATCACCGCGGTTTTGACATTAACAAGAAGCAGAGTAAACCCCAATATGGGAATATAGCTGAAAAGGCTAAACAGGGAAAAAGGCAAATCGGCATTTGTAATCGGTGTGGCATTGAAGGCCGTTGAGCCAATACCTGCAGAACAGTCAAACACCTAACAAATTTTTTATCAAGCCTCACTGCAGAAAAAAAGGGAAAGAGGTCGAGACTAATTACATTGATAACGATGACGACCCCGATAATGATCTTCTGGATTACGACACAATGCATCTTGATATAGCGGACTTTGCCGTAGATCCAACAAACCCCCAGTGACAGATATACTATGTCATTTTACATTATGCCATTTAATATTTTGTAATATTTAAATTATCGTATATTACCTTTTTGTAATGCATTTTGTAATACATATATATGTCTTTATTAATACTGCGTTTGAATGTTAAATGGATGTCAATCAAAATGATGCAAATATGTGTTTCATTGATAGTGTAACGACACATACTATATTAAAACACGAAAAATATTTCTCCCATTTGAAAAGGGAATGAATGAATGTCAAAACAATAAGTGGCAGTGCAAAATTAATTGAAGGCTTTGGAGAAGCCATTATATTTCTCCCCACGGGGACGAAAATTGTGATACAGTATGCATTGTTGGCCACTAAAGCTCGAAGAAATTTACTGAGCTTTCATGGCATTCGGAAAAATGGTTATCACATTGAAACTATGAGTGAATTTTTATTGAGCACCAATATCATAGATAAAAGGAAATGCATCATTGTAAGATTACCTTTACTCTCTACTGGCTTATATGATACCAAATTAGGTGTTGTTGAAACACATCTCACGGTAGATCAAAAGACTACTGATTTTTAAATATGGCATGATCGCCTTGGGCATTTTGAAAATATTATGATGAAGCGAATAATTGAGAATTCGTATAGCCATTCATTAAAAGGTCAAAAAGTGTTAAACTCAAATGAGTTAACTTGTGTTACCTGCACTCATGGAAAATTGATAACTAGACCATCGCCAGCTAAAGTAGGAATTGAATCACCTACATTTTTTAAAAAAATACACGAAGATATATATGTGGACCAATAGACCCACCATGTGGGCCATTTAAATATTTTATGGTGCTTATTGATGCATCTACCAGATGGTCACATGTCTGTTTATTATCTACTCGCAATATGACATTTGAGAGATTGTTTGCCCAAATTATTAAATGACGGGCATAATTCTCCGATAATCCTATTAAGACTATACGTCTGGATAATGCTGGTTAATATACATCGAATGCATTTGATGATTATTGCATGTCGATTGGAATTAATATAAAGCACACAGTTGTTTATATTTATACACAAAATGGTCTGGCAGAATCACGTATTAAAATATTGCAATTGATTTCTAGACCATTACTGATGAGGTCTATGTTTCCCGTTTCAGCTTTAGGGCATGCAATCTTATATGTAGGAAAACTCATAAGAATGAGGCAGACAAGCTATCATAGTTATTCCCCTATGCAATTAGTATTTGGTCACGAACCAAATATATCTCATCTACGTATTTTTGGGTGTGATGTTTATGTTCCTATTCCACCCCCCAAACGTACAAAAATGGGTCCTTGACGTAGATTGGACATTTATGTCGGATATGAATCGCCGTCAATTATAAAATATCTTGAACCTATGACGGGTGATTTATTCACTGCAAGATTTACAGATTGTCATTTTGACAAATCATATTTTCCGACATTAGGGAGAGACAGAAATGAGCCAAAAAGCGATATTAATTGGAAAATCCCATTGAATTTTTGTGATATTTGTACAAAGCAGTATGAATTAGAAGTTCAATGCATTATACATTTGCAAAATATTGTAAATAATTTACCGGATGCATTTAATGACTTGAGTAAAGTCATTCGATCATATATTCAAGCTGCTAATGCTCCGGCTAAAATAATTATCCCTGATGAACAAATTGGAAGTGCTAATGAATCAGCGACACGCTTGAAGCTTGGTAGACCACTTGGTTCCAAAGACAAACATTCTCGAAATAAAAGAGGAGTTAATGATGATAATTATGAAAATATCAGGAATGACATTGATAAATCTTAAACTAATGAGGAAGTCAACCCTAAAATAATTGTTCTAGAAGAGCACGATCTTGAAGAATATGATGAGATTATTGAAAACTCAATTAACTATGTCACTTCAAGAAAATGTTGGAACTTTAAAGAGACAATATTTGATAATATCTTCGCATACAGTTTGACACTTGATATAATGGAAGAAAACGAGGATACAAAGCAAAGTCGGTTCATGAATATCGGCAAAGAAATGACTGGCCAAAATGGAAAAATGCGATTCAATCAGAGCTTGATTCATTAAACAAAAAAGAGGTCTTCAGACCAATTGTCCAAACACCAAATGGTATAAAACCAGTTGGATACAAATGGGTGTTTGCACAAAAAAGAAATGAGCATAATGAAATTGTGATATATAAAGCATATCTTGTGGCTCAGAGATTCTTACAAAGACTTGGAGTAGATTTTGATGAAACATACTCTCCGGTTGTTGATGGAATAACATTTAGATACCTTGTGAGCCTAATAGTGCGAGAAAAACTCGATATGCGTCTTTTGGACGTAGTTACTGCATATCTTTATGCCTCGTTGGATACTGATATTTATATGAAAGTTCCTGAGGGATTCAATATGTCTGAATCATACAAATTAAACCCAAAGGAATCATATTCCATCAAATTGAAAAATTCATTGTATAGACTTAAACAATCAGAACGAATGTGGTATAACCGTCTCATTGAATGTTTAATAAAAGAAGGTTATACTAATGATCCAATATGCCCATGCGTTTTTAGAAAGAAAAATTGATAAAATTTTGTCATTACTGCAATATACGTTGATGATCTCAATTTAATTGGAACTCGTGAAGAGATCCAAATTGCAGTTGAATATCTAAAGAAAGAATTTGAGATCACAGATTTTGAAAAAACAAAATATTGTCTGGGATTACAAGTGGATCATGTTAATAGTAAGATATTTATATTCATCAATCCACATATACCCAAAAGGTATTAAAACAATTTTATATGAATAAATCTCACTCCTCTCTGAGTACACCAATGGTAGTCAGATTCCTCGATCCCAGTAAGGATCCATTTAGGCCAATAGAAGAAAATGAAAAAATACTTGGCCCTGAGGTACCATATCTCAGCATTATTGGCTCATTAATATACCTTGCAAATTGTACCAGGCCAGATATATCTTCTTAGTAAATTTACTGGCCAGATTTAGCGCATCCCCCACAAAGCGCCATTGGGATTGTATCAAGCACATTTTTCGTTACCTTTAGGGAAGTCATGACCTCAGTCTATTTTATTCGAGTGAATCTTGAAATGAATTAATTAGTTATGTTGATGCTGGTTATCTGTCT